GGGGGGGGGGGATCCTTTCTCTTCTGCCTGGTGCATGGTCACTTCAGGAACCTTCACCTCCCACCCTAGGGTCCAGCAAAGCCCCAGCCCAAGCCACTCCAACAGGCTGAGATGGTGATGGGACCTACAGAAGTCTTGCTACCCTGGGCTGGTTCTAAATAAACTCAGTGATGCCTAGGTGAAATGCTGGCATAAGTTTACCAGAACTCTCCCTAGAAATACCATATTTCTGGTGGCCTTGGCCATACTGTCCTTCATGGAACCTGGGGGCAAAAAAGCGATCTATTGGGACTTTGAGCCACTGCCACCTGTGGCCACATGCTGGCTCCCAAAGGCAGGGGTGCACCCAGTCCTCACTGGCTATCCCAGCCTAAAGTTAACCTCAGCCCCCAAGTCAGGTCCCTATGGAGATGGAAGACCAGGAGACTTTCTGCTTCAGGGCCTTAGCTCAGAAATGGGACAGGGCCAGGAGGTGGCGGAGTGTGTGAACTGGAAGAGATAGTTTGTGGGGTTCCTGCCCTCAGGATACTGTTTTGTTTTCCTTGGACAGAGAAACCCCCTTAGACCCCTGCCTGCCTGGCCCTTCAGCACCAGCAAAACAGCGGCCTGGTAGGGGCCCCCCTTGTGGCTACTGTTCAGATGATTGTCACGTGTGCTACAAGACAGAAACAGATGTGCTTGGTGGAGGGGTTGGGGGTGTGGGGAGCTGCAGAGCTCCAGGGCTGCTCACCTGCCAATGCTCCCTGCTGCCATCCCCTGGTTCTCACGCCAGTGCCTGAGCTGGACCCCGTGCTCCTGCTGTGCCAGCACCCATCGCCTCACAACTCCACCCCACCGTCAGACCTGCCTGCCCGAGGGGGTCATCCAGTTCTCTTTCCTTAATGCAGGATATTATCCTGGATCCTGGCCAGAGAAGGGCTGTCTTTCCTTAGCTGATCCCCTTCCTGCCCGGGTGGTGGGGGCTGGAAGAGACGGGTCCAAGTTAGCCAAGTCCACAGGGTTAGTGAGATGGGGAACCATCTGGAGACTGTTGTGCTGTAGCATCTAAGAGATGTAACCCCATTCCCTGCCCTTTGCCCTCACAGAAATAAACGAAACAGAAAAAGAGCCGGCGCGAGGATGGCAGTGGGACTTCGATGTGGGCAGGGGCACATGGGCGTCTTCAGGGAACCAAGGCCTTTAACAGGACACCTCCATGGTGTGGTTGACCTGGCCCAGCCCCTCGCTGCTCTCCGACTGGGTACAGGCCTGCGGGCGGCTGCCCTCCACCGAGCTGGCGCTGGTGAGGGACGCGGTCCGAGAGCGGGCGAGACGGGTCATGCTGGCCGAGGGCACTGTGGACAGAGGTGGGACCGGGTGTAAGGGCCAGCAGGCGGGGCCAGGCGCCAGCAGGCAGGAGGACTCACACAAGCAAAGCGGCCAGCGAGGCCCGTTCTTCCAACGGCACAGAGGCCCATCCCAAGCCAGGGCTCTGGTTTCTGCTCTGTCAAGCCCGAGGCATGCAATGCCAGCGACAGTGAGCGAGCCAAAGGGCCAGGGTCCTCAGACGCCAGCAGGACCCTCTCACAACAGCTGGCCAGAGATGCAGCCAGAATGGGGTGGCAGTTGACCAGGTCTCCCAGAGCTGGTGTAAGGATGGGACATTACGGCAACGATGGCTGCCTTGAGAGGGTAGTGGGGCTGGAGAACAGGGTGACTTCTGTAAAGGAGAGCAAGCTGTGGTGGCCTCAGCCTGCCCTAAGTCCCATTTCTGCCCTCATTGGGAGTTTGACAAGCAAGACTCAGCCCTCCTGGGCTCCACCGGCCACCTGTTCAGCTCGGGCATGGCAGGGCGCCCTTGCCCCGGGCGGGGCCTGGGCTCGACCTCTGAGAGGGTCTGGTTCCACCTGCCAGAGCTCGGGAAGCCACACAGCCCATGGCAACCTAGAAGTAAGGCTGCTCTAAAGGCCAGCCAATCTAGAGCCCGAAAAAGGGACAAAGCCCACGCCGCTAGGCCTCTGTGGACGAGCAGGACTCTATGGGCCTTGGAGGTAAGCGGGACACGAGAAGGTCCCAAACCACGCAAGATGCGGCCTGGCTCAGCACAGCGCAGGGGGAGCCTGGAGGGTGGGGTCCATGCAGCAGGGGGGGCTACCAGGCTACCTGCGCCTCCACTCAGCCTCCGGTCCTTCAAGTAGGCAACTGAGAGAAGACAGAGCCGGGAGGGGCGGGGGAGACAGAACACGGGTGAGGAGCGTGGTCCGGCGAGGCAGGGGTGTTGAGATGGATGGAAGATGAGACCAAAGGACGGGCACAGAGGGTTGGAGGCAGGGCCAGGGCCTCAGGAAGCCCACTCCTGCCCACCCACCAAGCAGCGGCCACGGAAGGAACCACACAGCACGGACTGATGTCAGTCTGGCCCTGGGAGCTCCGACAGCCGGGGCGGGGGGGCACTTACCTCATCCCCCACCTTCTCCAGCACTGAGGGGCTCATGTCAGCAAGGCCTTTGGGGCCCATATCCAGTCCCAGTGCCCTCGCCTTCTGCTGGGCCTCGGTCTCCCCAGGTACAGAGTGGGGGAGCCCTGCACGACCCCCCAAACCCCTCCCAGCTCTTGGGCTCTGCTGGTGGCATTGCCTCCGGGCCCTGACAGGCGCTGCTCATCCGCCCGTCCCACGGGTGCTGACCGGCTGCTCCCGCGCTCAGGGCCAGCCCGGAGCTTGTGCTGTCTCACTGTCGGCCGTGGCCTCCTTGCCCTATTTCTGCACAGAGAGGTGCAGGCCCCCGGGGACCAGGGGGAGAGCTACTCCTGGATGTGGCCCCCCGCCTTCCCACACAGCCCTGTCCTCCCACCAAGGCCCAAGCTCCAGAGGCTGAAGTCTGAGGGGAACAAAAATTCAGGGAGAGGAAGTTGGCTTCCAGCAGGAGCCAGGGGTGTGTGTGAGTCAGTGTGTGTGTGTGTGTGGGGGGGGGGTTCACTAGCACAGTCTGGATCTGAGTACAAGGAGAACTTTGGAGACTGAAGGGGTAGGAAAGGGGTGGGGAGAGGGCAGGAGGGGGCCAGTGCTACCCACAGCTCTTATAGCCCCAGGATCTTCAGAATGCCACCCCCAGGTTCAGCTGCCTATTGGGGTGAGGAACACTTCTCCCAGCCCCGGGGCCTAGGGCCCAGGCTGGGTCCTGCTGGGGAAGCTGTCCTAACACCCAGATGGCCCCATCTGCCTTCCCTGTTCCTCAAGCCCACTCTTCTACTGCACCATCTACCACCTGTGACAAAAGCCCTTCTCAGGTGCTGTAGGCCTGGCAGGGGGTGGTTGGGGTGTATGACACCTTCAGGCAGGCTTCCTCGGCAGGACCCAGGCTGGGCCCTGATCCCCCAGGGCTGGGGAGAAGAGCTCCTCACCCCAGTAGACCCAGCCATACTATGGTGCCCCAAAGCCTCTTCAGGGCCCCGGGGAGCTGGGTACAGCCTGGGCTGATTGACTTACAACCTGGGTGGAGATGCCCTGCCAGGCCTTGGTGTGTCCCCAGCTGCAGGGGGAGCATGTGGTGAGAATGACCCGGCATCCAGGTCCCCTGAATACAGAGCTCATCCACCCACAGCCTGCTCAGCACCACCTGACAGGTGCCAGCCCCACCTTGCTGTGTGCCACCGGTCACTGGGATGGGCAGGGACGGAGGTGTACTTACTGTAGCCCATGCCTTGCAGAAAGTATTTGAAGGCTTCAGTCAGCTTTCCGGGCTGCAGGAAGGAGGGACAGGCACATGCTTTGACTGGCTGTCTAGGACTGGGGGGAAAGGAGGCTTCCCCCACCCCAGGCTAGGTAAGGGAGGGAGGGCTAGAAGTCTCACCTGTGTGACCTGGGGGAGCCCCCCGGAATCTGCCATCTGCAGGGGAGAGACGGAGTGAGCAGAGCAGGACCACCCCACGTCTTGCCTGGCCCTCACACACCTGGACAGGCTCCGCTGACCAGACATACTGACCCAGCTGGGATGCCAGGCAGGCCCTGTCCTGAGGCCGGGCTCATGGCTGGGGGAGCTGGCCCAGGGCTAGGGAGGAGGGTCTCACCTTCAGGAAGGTCGTGGTGGTTGGGTCCAGTTTGGAGTTGCACTCAACCTGAGAACAAGGAGCCAGTTTCAGCAGAGTGAGGCAGCCCCAACTGCTAATGCAAGTTCTATCCCCAGAGCTGGGGAACCCCCAGGCTGTCTGCTCCCAGAGTTCCAAATGCAATGGGTGCAAGTGGTGGTCAAGGGGGACCACCGCTGTGCTCAGGAATTACTTATTTCATAAAAAATGGATCAAACTGTAGAGAAAAGAGAGATCGTAGTCTCTGGGCCTGAAGTGGGTAGAGACAGGTGGGGCTGCACTGCTGGGGGGGGGGGCGG